CCTTATAGTAGCCCCATCTAAATTGTATTTGCCCAGTTTGTCGATAATTAATGAGGTAGTTGGGGAAACTAATTCAAAATTGTGCACAAATCCCACAAAATATTGGGGGGCCCCCTCCCCACATCTTGAGGAGGCTTGAGTCTCCCTAAATGGCCTTGTCCCCATGTGGATAGATTTTTGTGCTCACCCTAGTCCCCACCTCTCCATCCTTTCCTGATTTCTCCCTTTTCTTCTTTAACTCTTCTACTTCCCCCTGAATTTTCCCTTTTCTGGGCTCCTTTGCTTTCAGATTTTCTGTGACGTATCAGGGGAAAGGTTATGATCTGCTGAAAGTCATTTCTCTATTCATATATGTATATCATTAATGCATATGAAGTTATGAGAATTGTATTGTATGGTTGTCACTAAATCATGCTGTAAATTGGGGAATCAGCCAGATATTAGCTTCCCAGAGGCAACAGGAAGGAAAGTAACCAACACCCAGGCGGAGCATCAAACAGCCCATCAACAGCCATTGTCCAGCAAGGGAGCTACAATGCAGTGACTCACCTGCATGGGGCCACACCAGGGGATTTGCTCAACCTTCCCTAGAGACTCAGTAATGCCCACCAGACATGCCTGGGCTTGTGTATTCCCCAAGCACATGGGACTTAGGGTATAAAACAGAACACAGCAGGCCCATGCTTCATCTTTCTCCTGCCCCCACCTATGCTGCAAGAAACCAAGACACTCAGAAGAAGACTGAAGACTCCAACAGAGGAGGCTGGTCCAGGTTTAAGGGACAAACCTGTATATTAAGGATGCAGTATCCAGTGGGTTGAGAAAAACTGCTTAATCTAGAATTTGCCCAGTCTAATAGGGTTGAGAATTTAGACTGCGTGATTATGTTTTATTTTCTTTTGGTAACTAACTCTGACTTTTTGCCTATCACTTACAATCACTTAAAATCTATCCTTTGTAGTCAATAAATTTGTTTAACTGTGTCAAGGGTTTAGATGTGGGGACCTGCATGAGAACCTCTAAGCTTAACTACCAGCTTAGATCTGGTTTTGCTGCCACCACCCAAATTATTTATGAGTCATTTGGGAAACTCTGTCTATCTCCCCCCCAGAATATCTCCCTCTCAAGTACTATAACCCTTCCCTGGGTAGCCTTGAGAGACTTCTCCACCAATTTCCTGGTGAACACCGATCCAAACCCTTGGATCTTAAAACAAGGAGAAATTAACCATTCTCCCTCCTTTCCCCCACCAATTCCTGGTGAGTCCAGATCCAACCCCCTTGGATCTTAAAACAAGGAAAAATCAATCAGGTTCTTAAAAAGAAGGCTTTTAATTAAAGAAAGAAAGGTAAAAATCATCTCTGTAAAATCAGGATGGAAAATAACTTTACAGGGTAATCAGATTCAAAGAGCCCAGAGGAACCCCCTCTAGCCTTAGGTTCAAAGTTACAGCAAACAGAGGTAAACCCTCTAGCAAAAGGAACATTTACAAGTTGAGAAAACAAAGATAAACCTAACACGCCTTGCCTGGCTGTTACTTACAAGTTTGAAATATGAGAGACTTGTTCAGAAAGATTTGGAGAGCATGGATTGATGTCCGGTCCCTCTTAGTCCCAAGAGCGAACAACCCCCAAAACAAAGAGCACAAACAAAAGCCTTCCCCCTCCCCATGATTTGAAAGTATCTTGTTCCCTTATTGGTCCTTTGGGTCAGGTGTCAGCCAGGTTACCTGAGCTTCTTAACCTTTACAGGTAAAAGGATTTTTGTGTCTCTGGCCAGGAGGGATTTTATAGTATTGTACACAGGAGGGTTGTTACCCTTCCCTTTATAGTTATGACAAACTGTTTATTTTTACCAGTGAGTTTGTATGAAGTGTGTGGCAAAACTGCTCAGGTTTGCAAAGGCTGGTGTATATCCACTTTCCACCAATGAAGTGGTGAGCCAATTAATAAATTTGCACTGCCCATCTTAAGCAGAGGGAGACAGTATATTCATGAGGTACAAAGCTAGGAGCTGGGGGGATTTGGCTGGTGCCTTTCCCTGTGTGATTCATGAGTGGCTCTGGGAGCATTCATGCAATCTAGCTGGCTGGGGGGCTCCACATGCGGTTGAGCTGAGTGATAACAGCACCCGGAAGAGTTTGCTGCTGGTCACTGGCAAGGCATTGTGAGAGACAGCCCAGGCTGGAGAGTTAAGGGAGCACAGTGGTCCCACAGTCCCAGGCTGCACCCTAGGGATCCCGTCACAGAGGTTTTGTGTGCACACTGAGAAAGCAATTTATGATAACTGAAAGCCACGGTCAGTTCTGGAATGCCCTACAAAGAACAGCAGCACCACTGACAGTGAGTGCAAAAAATACCATTTTCCCTCACTCCAAGTACATTGTTATAAAAGAAAAAAACACTTTGGGGAGGTACAGAGAAGTCTTTTTTTGTTGTTCTTTTGGAGACTGAGACCTCCAATCCTATGTTGAGAACCTTTAGAATGTCAATGTAGAAATGATAAGGATAATGGGCTACTTATCTTTGTTCAGATATACTAAGTCTGCATAGTGGTTAAGTGTCTTTCTCTTCCATCACGTGCTCATCACCAGATGTTGCACTAGTACTCTGAATATTAACTGATACAATCATTCCAGGTCTTTTTAGTATTGATATGAGGCATGGATTATAAATTCAAACAAAGAGATTTAACTATTTGCCTTTGAGATGAAGTCTTATTAAAAATATTAAATATATTGTACATGCATGCCGAATGCTAGTGTATTTTCAGGCCATAAAATAGAATTACGAGCAGTAGCTGGAAGAAAAATGTGCAGTAGTTCTTTAAGTGCTATGATAAAAAATCCATAGTTTTTTATTTACATAAAACCAAAATAATTGGGATATTAGGCACAAAGCAACATCCTGCTTAGATATTATCAGGTAATATTGAGAGGTGTGAACAGACGCCTTTCTGAACAGGAAGAAAGTTTATAGTGATAGGAAAAGGAAAAATTGTTTCTGTACTTTGCTCAGACATCATGATCTTATCTACAGAGCTAAAGAGGAAAAGATATAAAGGACAGAAGTTACCAACAGTAATGATGGGGAAGAGTGTAATTTATCCTTCAAACAAGAGGTTATCTATTATGTGCTACTTCAGAACAGTATATGTTTGTTTAGCTAAAAAATAATTTGTATATAAACTGTAACAGTGATGGGTATGATGAATATAATGGATTTCAAGATTAAACCTGTGTTATGGAGAAAAATATACATAAATGTTTTTAATTCCTCAGGGTCTTCAAGGTATTCCAGGACTCCCTGGTCTAACAGGACCTAATGGACCTTCTGTAAGTGTTTGATATAATCTATGATCTAATCTATTCCTTTGGAGGTTACAATAACTGTCTAATGAACCTGTTGTACTCAATATCAAGATGTAATGAAAAGGAGACTAGGTTGAGCCAAATGTTAAAGAAGCTAATAAATCCAATAATCCAGTACTAATTGAAAATTAAAGATGTTATTTTGGGAGTAATGCTTTAGTTTACGGAAAGATGAGATAATTTAATATGAATTTGTGACTCCAGAGATTTAACTTTCACTTAAATAATAGCTTCATATTGGTTCTTCATATTTCTAGCCTGTTCTTTTCTCTGTGGTGCTAATAAAGAGCCAGAGTCTGCCTTCAGTTGACTTCTGGGGAGTTGAATGAATGTCATTGTAAGAGTAACAGAAGTTGGCCCAAGTAGTTTTGTAGAAACAAGTTATGTTGTGAGTTTAAATTCCTGAAAATGTTGCCATTGTCAGAACCATTATTGTGTATATAATTTATAATATGTTTCTTGGTGATATTATCAGGAAATCTATACACAAAATTGATTTGAACGATGTAATAACTTTCAGATAATTATGCATCTGAACCCAAATTATTGGTATAATGTTAGTGATAAATTCTAATAATAATTCTATTTGAACACTCTGAAAACATTGAATCCTGAAACTTAGTAATTATAAAGTGTGACTCTAAATTGGCTATTAATATAGAAAGCCAGTGAGCCACATTTGTAAAGCAATGATAGAAAATGTTATATCTTTTCCATACCCTTAGGAAATACTATTACATTTTACTTCCTATTTAAAAGATGCAGATCACATTGTTTATTGTGCTTATTTTTAATTTCCTGACTGCTTGCAGTACTTAAGTTAAGCTTTCTTTCAAAAACTATAACACATTTAGCAAAGCATAATGGGTAATTATGTAAATTGCCATTTAAGCAGCAAGGCTAAATTCTTAGCAGTATCAAAAGGTGCCAATTAAGGTCACTACATTTAGTCTGCCAAGGTGAAAATGCAACCACAAACACAAGTTTTACCCTTCATAGGGCTTATCAGTAGTATGCAGCTGTTGTATCAGCCAGAAGAAATATAAGCCTAGAGGAGAGACTTAATTAAGTTGAAATGACCTTCAAAAAGTATGAGTTTTAATAACTTAATTGCAATGCAGAACACCTTGTTGTATTGTTTCATCACTAATATGAACCAATCCTATGTGTTTCAGGGAGCAGTAGGAAGACCTGGACATCCCGGTCCAGTTGGGGCAAAAGGTGAAAAGGTATTGAATATTATTCTTTATTTCAGATCCAGTGAAGTCTATGAAGAATTCTCTAGTTCCTTTCCTCACTTATGGTTTTCTTGACACGCCAGAAACTGAGCATGACTACCCAGGGAGTCAAAAGGCTGTGTGGTACAAACAGGAATTGAACAGACAATATTGCTACCCATTTTTGACCCAAGTGGTTAGCCAAAATTTGTGGTCCTACAAGGTTGTTTCTGTTAAGAGGAGAAATTGATGTTGGAGCCAGGTATTTCTATGATGCAATCCTGTTTGTCTATGAAGATGTACACAGCCTCTTTCAGCCAGCTCTCCTGTCTCCTTAGTTTTATACTCCTCTTTTCATGTCTGTTTCTAATGTTTCTTGCTGCTTCCCTCTGTTACACACACACACACACACACACACACACTGCTCCAGTCCAGTCAGTCTTCCACCCCTGATAAGAGCACAATGGAACCCTTCTTGAGCCACATGTCTAACTCCTACCTGAGCCTGGCATGTGGCTTTTTTTTTAGTGCAGGTCCATATTGTTTCAGAGCTCAATGTTTATATTTATTCTGAATGATGAATTTGAAAATTTCCTCTAACAAAACAATAGCAGCAGCAAAGAAAGGAACTCACCTTCCTCCTCCCAGTCACTTAAAACAAAATTAAATGCAAGAAACTTCCTTGTTAACTCAGTACACAGGTTTACTCATAAAAGGTCTGGTAAAGCAAAGTTCCAATAATAACTAACTCAGACTCTGGACACACATTTTCTGTTCTTGGATTTCTGGTTGAGGCTAGCTGGGTGGGATTCCAAGCTCTTTGGAGGACAGGATCATAATTCAAAATGATCTTGATAAATTAGAGAAAGAGTCTGAAATCAATAAGACAAAATTCAGTAAAAAACAAGTGCAAACTTCTGCACTTAGGAAGGAAAAATCAAATGCACAAATACGAAATAACTGGCTACTGCAGAACAGAATCTGGGGGTTATACAAGATCACAAATTGAATATGAACCAACAATGTCATGGTGTTGTAAAAAAGGCAAATGTTATTCTGGGATGTATTCACAGGAGTGTCATACCTAAGACATGGCGGGGTAATTGTTTCATTCTACTTGGAACTGGTTAGAGCTCAGCCGAAGTAGTGTCCAGTTTGGAGCACATAATCTAAGAAAGATGTGGATAAATTGGAGAGAGTCCAGAAGAGAGCAACAAAAAATGATGATAGGTTAAGATGATAAGAAAACCTGACCATGAGGAAAGGTTAAAAGAATTGGGCATGTTTAGTCTACAGAAGAGAAGTCTGATGGGGGGGACATAAGTCTTCAAATATGTGAAAGGTTGTTGTAAAGAAGACAGTGATCTACCGTGTCCACAGAGGGTAGAACAGTTAACTGGCTTGGTTTGCAGCAAGGGAGATTTAGGTTATATATTAGGGAAATGTTTCTAACTATAAGGATAGTTAAACACTGGAATAGGTTACCAAGGAAGGTTTTGGAATCCCCATCATTGCAGGTTTTCAGAACAGGTTAGACAAACACCTGAGTGTCCAAAGATTTAATAACTATGGTAAGTGCACTATATAGATCATCCAAAACAGTGATTCAAGCATGTTTGAGCAACAAGCCCCTTTGAAGTAACAAGCCCCTTTGAAGTAATAATCAGACTGCATCAGGGTTGACCCTCAGTCTGCTGCTGTGTATCATATTGATGGACTACATCAGCAGAAAGATCTTAATGGGGAAAAGGTCACAAGTTGCTATATGCAGACAAAATAGCAATATGGATGTTCTCAAAAGAAGACCTTGGGGAAATAATAAATCAGTGATTTGACCAGCCAAGCAGGCCTGGGATGAAAATGAACATTACTAAGACTGAGGTCATGTAGGTCAGTAGAGGTGCCACAGGAAACTGGATATAGAGATTAATGGAATACAGCTACACCAGACTGACCAGTTTAAGAACCTTAGTGGCTGGGTTACAGAAGACAGTGAGATAGTATATCAGATACAGTTCAAACTAGAGAATGCTGGAAGAATGAGGAATAACATGGCAGGTTTTGTATGACAAGCATATGCCATTTACAGAACACGGGTGCATCCAACAATGTTGTATGGCACAGAAGCATGGTCACTAAAGAAATGGTAGCTTCAATACCTACAGGTTTTTGAGATGGGATGCCTTCAAGGTATATAGAGTTCGAAAAGACAGATTTCAAAATGAAAGCATTAGAATGGAAGTCAGGTCTATGATGTAGCTGACAAAATCCAGGAAGCATGACTTCACTGTTTGGACACATACAGAGGATGAATGAAGAGGACCTGGTGAAGATAGCATGGCAGGAGAAGATGGTAGGAAAGAGACTCCAAGGAAAGCCGAGGAAGTGGTGGGTGGATTGCATCAAAGAAAATGGTAAGCAGGTGGACATTAGTGCAGCCTGAGACAGATGAACATCCTGTTTGCATGACATCCTGATGCCAGATGATGGAATTAGGGGAAAGAGAAGAGGAAGAAGTTAGAAAAACACCTGTCAGGGATGGTGTGATAGGATGGTGTGATAGGACTGTGAGTCACCTTGTTACCCCCTCACCTCCAGCAAGAGAAAGACTTGTTTGTGCTTAACTGGGTGTCAGCTCCCTGATACCACCAGCCTTTTCGTCATCCAATTTCCTCTGGACAATGCCAACCCTACTTTGTCTGGCAAATTAACAACAGGTGTGTCCCAGTCCCCAAGCTCCTTTGATGCATTCCCCTATAGTGTCCAGCCCTTTATTCATGGAACACTTGCAGGAATACCAGCTTGTATAATTCAACTCAGGATTCTCACCTTGCTTAATACCACAGCACTGAGATATATTTATAGGGAAAACAATATGTTTATTATCAAAGATTCAAGAGTTAGTGAGTAAGGATAATGGAAGCAAAAGGTTACATAAAAACGAAAATCATATCACACTTTCTAGAGACTAAACTTGCCTTAGTAGGCTAATCTTCTGTCTGAAGAAGTTTATCTCCCCCCAAATGTCTTCTGAAGCATTTCAACCAAGGTTGGTTGAGATACCATTTTCATGAATGTAAATTTACTGCCCATTTACTTCCTAAGTGCAAGATGACAGGCTGTCTTCTATGTTCCCATAATATAGTCCAGCAGACCTTTGAAGTGTATCTCAAGATATTCCTGTTGTGTGCTCTTCTGTGTTGTCTTTGTATCTCTCTGTTGACTTTGTATGTAATGTTCCACCATTGTGTCGGCTTACAATGCTTAATTTACAGGCCAACAAGGAGACAGGAGAATAAACATCTTTTGTCTGTCAGGACCACTTTTTTTCCTCCACCTCTGCTGTGATACAGAATCTAAGAATATAATTGAAAATTATATTTTCAATTTACATATATAACTCCTCACCTAATAGGAGGAGTTATACGTTCACAACTATATTACCAACCAGTATGATACTGGCTTTCATTTAAGGCTTCACACAACTATCTTTGGTGAACCAGAATGTACATACCAGAATCAGAATATTCTTGTAACACACTTGCCAGTTGGCACTGAGGGTTTATGGGTCACAGATCATCTAGGTGTACTAGGTCCTGTCTCACCGTGGGATAGATGGTCTTCTCATGGTCTCTTCCAGCCCTGCATTTCCATGATTCTGTGTTTTTATTGACTCGTAATAGTGACATTACCAGAAGAACTGACTTCCATGGGACAGTGCTTCATGTCATAACATAAAAACGTAGCAGCCCACACTTGTTCAGAGTGCCCACTAGTATGTAAACTGTTTGGGGAGCCTGCTCACATGTATCCCATTTCAGTCCATGTCAGCCCAACAGGCAACAGATATAACCTACCCAAAGTTAGACCATCATCACAATTCACTACAAAAAGTGATGAATTCATTCTTTCTGTCATATTTCAATGATAGGTTTGTTCTTGTTTTGTTCTGGGTTTTTTGTTTTGTTTTGGTCTAAGTGATGGTTGTTTCTTTATAACTTAATCCATAAACTGAAGATTATGTTCAACAAAGTGGTTTATGATTTATGAAAATTATTCTGAACTTTTATTTTCTAACTTTTGTTTATTGCTATGAAGTTTAACATCTTTCTTGCTGCCTTTTCTCCCAATAATATGAAGCGTATATTGTATTCAGTTACTCAAATCACTCTAGCTTACAAGTAAAACTACTATGTTAAAATTTCCATAAGGAAACCTATTGAAAATAATCAGTGTCATAGGGCTAAGACTCTAGATCTAATATAATGATATTATTCCCATATCTGCTCACTCATTTGTTTGTTTATTTATGTTATTTTACTTAGGGGATTAAGATGAAACTAGAGAGAAGGGAGGCCAAATTAACCTCTTATATAGCTGTACTTATCCAAAAAAGGAGAAGGAGGAGGGTCATATAGATTGTATTTCTTGTTTATTATCATTGTGCTAGGTATTACATCAGTTTCAGTAAATGAAATGTATGAATCTTATATTGTCATAGGGTAATGAGGGTTCTCCTGGAAAGCCTGGATCACCTGGACCTCCAGTAAGTCATTTGTTTCATATTCTGAATAATATATTTTGATAATTTACCTAAGGATGTCGTGGATTCTCCAAGTCTTTGAATCAACATTGGATGTCTATCTAAATCTAAAAGATATGCTATAGCTCAAGCAGAAGCATATGGACTTGATCCAAGAGACATTTGGGCAGTCTTGCACAGGATGAAAGATTACATGATCATAATGTCAAGTATCAGAGGGGTAGCCATGTTAGTCTGGATCTGTAAAAAGCAACGTTGTTTTTTACATGATCATAATAGTCCCTTTTGGCCCAAGCTCCTATTGACATCAGTAGCCAAGATTTCACCCTATGAATCTCTGAAAATAATATGAGTACTTTTTTCTGTAAAGCGCTCTTCATAAAATATTTCTTTTTAAAAATACAAAATACAGTAAAATACAAAATGCTTTAAGAATATAACAGGCAGGTATGGAGAAAATATACTAAAACAATATGAGGTTTGAGGGGACAGATTCTTCCTTTATAAATCTAGAGTCAGGGTGCAGGCCACCTGTTCAGGTTGTACATGGCATCTTGTACAGCCAATGGGTTGTAGTAGTATCTGACTGCATGACCATTCCCTGTTCTGCCCCTTTTTCGTTCCCCGCATCCACAACTGTGACTATTCTGCTGCAGCCTACTGGTTTCACCAATAAAGTGTATGAAAGTTAAAGTAAAATAAAACCAGCCATATTTATTTACATTCATTTGTTTTGCATGATAAAACTTCACATTTTAAAGTCTTCTGAACTCAATAAATTTCTCTTTCGTACTGAAAACACATTGTAGTTCAAGTGCAAATTGATTTGGGGATGGAAAAGGTGCATGTCATCTTTGGTCTTCACTTTGTCATTCTCCCTTTACTTATGCATACATTTTATAAATCTCCATCTATGAAAAAAGATTACATCCATATATCCTTCCTTCACCTTAAATATCCCGTGAATAGAATTTGAAAAAATATAAATCTCTTTTCAGAAGCAAAAGTTTCATCCATTCGTATCTTGAATACACTTGAGTTAACTTGTGCTTTTTGTGCTTTGGAGGTCAACAGGCTGTAAACATTTAGCATAAACTGGTAGTTCAGCTATTGAATTTTATTGAATTCATAATGTTTCTTCTGAATTTATTAGTGTCTCATCTGTCAAATTTGAGCATTAATTCAAAGCTATAATACAAGCCTCTATACTCTTGAAGTACTTGAAGCCTGACTCAAATGCTTTGCAGTTTTAATTTAAAAAGTAACTTTTTAAGGTGATAAAAAATGAAATGTACAATACCTTGAATTCCTTTACCTTCATTTGGCCAGTCACATAAATGGTTTGGCAATTTTATATAATAAAAATTATACAGTTACCTTAGGATTCATGAGCCTTCATTTTTATAAGCTGATAAAAAGCCCAATCCTCCATTCATCATACATCCCAAACTCTTAACTGACTTCACTGGAGTTTTTGCAGGACAGACCTGTCACAGTTCGGGGCAGTTGCACCTATATTCCCTCTCTAGGGTCCCACAAGGGCACCCACTCATAGGCTTTCAGCTGCCCAGCCGCCACCACTCTGGGTGTAGACACATGTCTCTCTCCCTTCTGAGCATGGTAATTCCAGGCTCCCTGCCTACACAGTATTCCCCAGGAAAGTCAGGCTGCCTAAACAGGCCTGCTTTACTTTTCTCCTCAGAGATGGTAAACAGGGTAATTGCCACAATTAAGTTGCAACACAGCTCTTTCTAAGCAAGTACATTTATTTTAAGGAAAAGCGTTACAGAGAAAACATGTTAACAATAAAAGAACCTACTTACGTGCCAATAAACATACGAGAGATCACCCCCTGACTACAACAAGGGCTGTGGCCAGTGAATCGTCCTTTGCACCCCACCAAGGGTTTATTCTGTGGTCACAACTTCATAACAGCAGTTAGCTCAGAACAAACACGAAGACTGGGCCATGTCCTTCCAAGGATTGGGGCCCCCCTTGGACAGAAGGTTCTGTCCATTTGCTGGATCAGAAAGAATGCACTTTTCTTTGTTGGCCCCTGAAGAATCCGGTTTGAACCAGTATTTGAGAACCTCTTTCCAGGGTGGTAGCCCTCTGGAGGTGTTACAACCTGAGTGAATTTGCCTAACCACCCCCGACTCCTCTTAGTTCCTGGAGAGCTGAGGCCCCCCTCCTCCATGGAATTACACACAGTCCCTGACCTACAAAGATAATAAACTGAATTCAATAAGGTTTGTCCAGGATATTGCAGGTAGTTGCCATATCTGTCACAAGACGCATTAACAGAAATGGTACTTTGGCTTTGTTGTGTACTAACAAATCAAAGGATGAAAGGCTGTTTTTCCATTGATTTCACCTTCATAGTTGTGATATTTTTTAAAATATTTTCTGAATATTTTCCTATTTTAAGGGTATGCCTTACAATGAAAGGAATGGAATGAGCAGCTTATATAAGCTACAGGTATTTTTCTTTATTAAATAATTTAACTTTTTTTTCCTGATTACTGCCTTATGAAACAAATGAAAATTGTTTTCTTTCCCCAGGGAGGTGTAAGTGTTGCTACTTATCCTGGTCCGCCGGGCCCTCCTGTAAGTATTTAATAGATATTATCTGTAATATTTAGTTTAAAACATTTACAGAAAGCTTCATATCTTGCATGCAACTTGTTTGTTGGGTAACAGAAAACTTTACATTTGAAAAATAACAATAAACAATTCAAATAGGATGTGACTGATACACATTAATAATAAAACACACATTTCGTAAGTATGTGTAATAAACAGCTTAGCAGACACTGGGAGAATGACTAAAATTTCAATATAAATATTGATAATTACAACCCTAGATTTTGCTGAATAGTACTTTAAAAAATGTCAGTACCCTGATTAAAATTAATGGGATTACTCCTTTGAGTAAGTGCAGTTTAATATGAATATAGGTTGCAGAACTGGGCGCAAAAATAATTTGATCTTGGACTATATATTGCAGTAATGTAATAATTCTTAAAACATATAGTGCACTTTTTATCTTTAGAGGCAGTGTTGTTTAGTAGTGCATTAAATTTGGTGCTGAAAATAAGGAATTCATTAATTCTAGTCTAGTGCTGTCACTGACTCGCTGCATAGCTTTGGACAAGTCTCTTAATTTCTCTGCCTCCGTTTCCCCATCTGTCTACCCTACCTCTCTGGATGATGAGGAGAATGTGGGAGTCATATGGACTGAATGTATCCCTCCCCTCAATTTTCATGAATTCCATAGGTGCTGCTGTCATCCTGGCTGAGAGCTCTGAAAGAGATCTGTCAGGCAGTGGTAACCTTTGGGCTATTCTGCCCCTTTGCATTCCTGTGTGTCTAAGGTGGACTCTGTCTGCCCCTCTTACACATACAGTTGGACTGTGGAGCCAGAGAGCCACATGGTTAGTGCCTTTGTGATGTTATAGCCATAGGCAGACTCCACCCCTGGCCTTAATCATTTTGGCAGCTGTGTAAACCCTTTGTGGCCACTGCTTTCCCCTTTGTGATATCATTTGCACTTCGTGGCATAGAATCAAGCCAGGCCACAGAGATATGCCCTGCTCTGCACTATAGAATAACACACACTAGGATTTGACCCAAATTTAACAAAATAAGATTGCTGCTAGTAGTGATTCTGAATACACTACTCTACCGTTTTTTTTATAATTGTTATATATTTTTATTATGGTAGTGTTAAAGACACCACATTCTTGTCTAATTGTGTTCTGTTATTTTCTAATACCTTTGTTAATCCTTCTTTGCAGGGTCCAAAAGGTGATCCTGGCACAATGGTATGTATATTTTATTGGAATGTGTCATTTCAGTCATACTGACAAGTGTGTCTTCATGAGTTGGAAGGTGGGGATGATGAGGAGAAGCAGTTGGAGGACTACTAGGGAACTGAGGACTTCATAGGTCATCAGAAGAGCCCTCCCAAAAGCTCAAAGTATGGTCCTAGCCATGTGAGTGGGAAAGTCCAGGAAGTTGAGCAGGAAGTTACTCTATCAATACATTTAAGAAAACTTGTTTTATAACCAAGGCTAGAGAAATGTACAGCTCCGGGTTAATAGACTTCTTTTTACAGTTGTTAATATTATGTTCAGTGATACATTATATAAGCTGCCTGTGGATTTTGTTCTCTGTTTAGTAATCTATAGAGGCATTTAAGTATGAAGAATTTGTATTATTTCAAGAGATTAAATCACTACTTGAAGTATGCCCCGTAGAAATAAAGATGGAAAATATTTTAATTTTGAGCCCAATGCAGTAACACGTAAAGTTGAAATTGCTCATCGGCGGTGATCACATTGTACCAGCATTTAGCAACCAGAAGACTATGTTTTCTTAAGGAACAGCGTAATGAGGGATTAATGCTCAAAAGTAATTAGAATATGATCAGGCTGTCTGTAGCTGCCAAGAAGTTGATGATAATTGGAGCCACAGTACATCTCAATTGTATAGCTTCACATTCAAAACCTATCTTAATAAAGCCAATTCACTGAATGCTTTGCTGTTTCTCCTCAAAGATTGCAGTGTGCCCTTTTCACAAAACCTTTATATTTCATATATTTACATTTTTGGAACAAATAGAAAAGCTTTGCAATGCCCAGGTTTTGGTAGATATTGTTTGTACTTTGACACCATGAAATATTTTTTCAGTTTTAATATGACATTTTTAAAGAGCCCGTAGGAAGCAAGTAGCTCCCAAACAAGATACATACATTTGTAATAACTGCCAAAGAGCATGCAAATTTCAGAATGGACTAGTCAGTCACATGAGACATTGAAAACCGTCTACATCATAGGCTGTAATTCCCACCATCTCTCGCAGAGGAAAGGATGCCAATTTATTTAACATAATGCAATGGGTGCCATTAAAAACTGGACATTTACCACTCACAGCAGTTAAATCTACCACAGTCTAAGGCAGTGGTTCCCAAACTTGTTCCGCTGCTTGTGCAGGGAAAGCCCCTGGCAGGCCGGGCTGGTTTGTTTACCTGCCGCGTTCGCAGGTTCGGCTGATCATGGCTCCCAAGGGCCACGATTCGCTGCTCCAGGCCAATGGGAGCTGCTGGAAGTGGCAGCCAGTACGTCCCTCAGCCTATGCCACTTCCAGCAGCTCCCATTGGCCTGGAGCAGCGAACCGCAGTCACTGGGAGACGCGTTCGGCCGAACCTGAGGACGCGTCAGATAAACAAACCAGCCCAGCCCGCCAGGGGATTTCCCTGCACAAGCGGTGGAACAAGTTTGGGAACCACTGGTCTAAGGAATGCCACAAATTCCATGGTCATGGGGGACAAAGCAGCACAAACCCACATTTACAGGACTGCACCGTTGCAGTAAAGGAGGTAAAATGACCCTTTCACAATCAACATGGCAGAATCATGGCCAGCAGAGCTATTTTGCATAGTGAACCAGCTAGTCAACCCAGACTGCCTAGCCCAGACACAAGATCCCAGCATCAACTGCTGTGAAGAACTATCAGCATCCTTCACTGAAAAGTTCAATAGAATGTGTACAGAGCCCAACAGGAAAGATTAAAAAGGGAAATGCTTTGAAAAGCTGGACAAGATGTTTTCTATGCCTTCCATTGAAGCCATACATGTGTCACAATGGTGTGAAGCCTTGGGATCTACTTTTACTCCTTATTAAACTTGGATGATGAGGTATAGTTTCCAAAAATACCATCTTGTACCTCCAGCTTGCTAGGAAATGTCCCTTCCTTCCATATGAGGACCTGACCATGGTGATCCATGCATTTGTCACCACCAGGCTGGATTAACATAACTCATTGTATCTAAAGCTGAATGTGAAGATGATGCAATGACTGCCTACCTTCTCCATATCTCTGGTCACTTAGAACACATTATGCCTGTGCACAAGTCCTTCCACTGGACAGACTCAAGTCAGCTTCTGATGACAGTTTAAGGTTTTGGTCCTCATTTTCAAAGCAATTAGTGGATGAAGCCCCAGCTACATCAAAGACCAAATTTTGATATATGAACCCATGTGATATCTGCACTCCTCTAGTACAGTGCAGGTTACAAAGTGCAGGATGAAGTATGTGAAAGCTAGGAACAAAGCATTCTCTGTCGAGGGGCTCTTGGTAGGGAACAGTCTTTCAGAAGAGATTGGGCAAATCCAGAGTCTCACCATCTTTAGAAAAAAGCCTTTCCACCACGAGTAATACTTGGAATTTGAACAACTCTTCTATTCCCAAACCACTCTCAATCCCCTAAATCCTCAGAAAATCTCTCTATCCCAGAGTTCTGACCCCATTAAAGGGAGAAGTTACAGAGATGCCATGAAATCCCTTTGGGATTTTGTTATTGATTTTACATGTAAAGCACCCAGATACTATGGTGATGGGCAGTAGTACAAAACTCCAAGATAGCTAGATAAATAGCTTGTTATGGTAAATGTCCCTTTTTTTTTTTTTTTTTTTTTTTTTTGGGCACTCACTATTGTCTGTAAAGCTGAATTACTGTTCAGTAGTTGCTACATCATCTCACTCATTTTCTGGCTTTTCTTCCAAAGCTCATAGACTTAATGCTGGAGTGCTCCTGATCTACACATCCCTAGGGAGAATAGGCTTTACTTAGCTAACAGAGTTTTGCTCTGAAGCCTCTAGATGCATCTTTTTTTACAGTCAAAAGGAGAATTCTAGAGTAACCTTGCAACCCATGTTACTTCTCTAATTGACAAGATATATTCAAATCTCTCACTTTATTGACCGAAAGTGGTTTAGTGCTGACCTTGACCAAGTAGATAACCAGAGGGGATTCTCTCTGATTAGGTTTTTAATCATAATTGAAACAATTAATCAGAAAATAAACACGTACTTGTTCTGGGAATAGTTCTAATTCTCAGGTCATAAAAACAACACATAGCAAAAGCTGTTCACTCAAAGTAAATACAATATTTAGCTGATTGTTAAATAATCTCAAGTTGAATGCTTTGCTTTTATATGCTATATTACAATTTTTATATGTCATTCAGAATGCAGAATTATTAATCTAAGCAACACTTTAAAAAAAACAGGGAGAACCAGGTCCAATGGGACTACCTGGACTAGAGGGATTTCCAGGAGAAAAGGTAAGACTTTATTAAAGAAAAATATCCTCTCTTTTTTTCAATTGGTATTGTTGTTTCTTTTGTATATCTACAGTGTTTATTGGCAGGGAAATGTTTCTTTCATTTAAGAGGCTGTTCACTTGTTGATGGTGTCTATCTGCAGCAGAATGTTTCATGAAAGATTGGGTCTGCATATGTAGAAATGTTGCATGCCTACTGTATTTTCATTTTCTGTTTAAATCTAGGTCTAAATAATACAATTAAATCAATGTAAAATTCCATTTTTTCAGGAATAACAAGTTGTGTGTAATCAACCTTCCATCCTTTACCAGTCGTTCATTCTATTCCATTAGTATTAGAACGGCCACTTTGATTTTACTAAACAAGCTACTTCCTTGATTAATGCTGATTAGAAGTGCAAAGCACTCCTTAGCAGAAGACACGAACCCTTTGATATGCCCCTAGGTATGTTCACTGGTTTTTATTCCCCTTGACCAAACATCATCTTCCTCATCTAATCTAGTTATGCTGTCCATTATAAATGCATTTCTGAGGGAAAGATCCCACCTGATAGTGCTATAGTCTAGTACTGTAACCCTCAGACTGACTGCATGCATGACTTTTACAAAGAAGGCTAATTTAAATGAGACTAAAAATCTAAGCAAAGTGGACCAAATCCAGAGAGATGCTGAGAACCTGCAACTTCCAGTGGGCCCAGTCCTGCTTCCAATGAAGCTAAAGGCAACTCTCTTGCCTTGTAGGATTTGACCTGCTATTTTTAAATATGAGGATTGTAACCATTTTTGTTTTGCACTTCTTATGTTATAATGAGTCTGTATCATAGAATCATAGAATATTAGGGCTGGAAGGGACCTCAGGAGGTCATCTAGTCCAACCCCCTACTCAAAGCACGACCAATCCCCAACTAAATCATCCCAGCCAAGGCTTTGTCAAGCCTGACCTTAAAAACCTCTAAGGAAGGAGATTCCACCACCTCCCTAGGTAACCCATTCCAGGGCTTCACCACCCTCCTAGTGAAAAAGTTTTTCCTAATATTCAACCTAACCCCCCCCCCCCCCCCCCCCCCCACTGCAACTTGAGACCGTTACTCCTTGTTCTGTCATCTGCTACCACTGAGAACAGTCTAGATCCATCCCCTTTGGAACCCCCTTTCATAGATTCATAGATTCTAGGACTGGAAGGGACCTCGAGAGGTCATCGAATCCAGTCCCCTGCCCGCATGGCAGGACCAAATACTGTCTAGACCATC